AATCATTGTTTGGCTGCCTCTTGCCGGCAATACAGGCACATGCCCTTGACCTGAATGAAACCAGGGATCCTTAGGTCCGCAGGCCGCTGGCTGCACTTTAGACATCTCTTAGGAGGTTTCATGGCTTTCGGAGTCCATAGGTAGTCTGACCTTTGTCATGTCTTTCTCTCCTCCTTCTCCATTCTCTCTATGGGTGACCTCTTTTTCTCTGTGGAGTCTACATCTCTAGGAAGATGCTAGATGCCAGCCCAGCTGAACCATTCACCTTGACCCTGTAGTCATCCAAGAGGAAGAATGGCGAGTAGTTTTCCCAGCTTCCAGCCCTGCCCTGCTCCTCCGGAGAATGTTTGCCCAGATCGGCCCTGCCTTTTCTGATGACAGCTTCCAACACCCACTGGCATTGGGTGCCAGGCCGCTCTGACCACCCTGCATTCATCATCTTCTGGCCTGTGCTCCAATTTGGAATCTCCGCCAGGAGAGGGGGCCTTTTGCCTTTTTAGAGAAGGAGAAGAGCTGGCATTTCTGAAGCGAGTGCTGCTGGGTGGCATATTCACAACTCCGCCACTGACTCAGGCTTGCTGTAGGTAGCAGAGTAAAACAAAAACAGCAGTTGATTTCCCTTTCGTTGGAATCCTTCGGTTCCAATCCTGCCTTAGTGAGTGCGTAGATGCTTCTCTGTCTGCCAGAACTCTTCCGTGTACCTCTGTTTCCCCACCTGTCAGCAGGCTAGCAACCGCTCACCCCTGCCTTGCGGTCATGGGATTGTTAAAGGGACTATGATTGTTTTCTTTTGCTCACTCAGGGTGTGCGTGTGCATGTGCGTGTGCGTGTGTGTGGCGCGTGTGCTGGAAAGGCATTGTCCTGTAGATATTTTTATAACCTGAAGCAATTACGACTGTCAGCACGGAGACAAGCTGTGACAAGTTGATTTATGTGTACAGTATGGGTGCATGTAAGCGGGAAGGGGAGGAGGACAGGGAGACGATGGGGAAGAAGATGGAGGTGGGTGCTCCTTAGGAATCTGCTTTCCAGGAGGCAGAGAGGAAGTTGTTTCTTATCAAGAGCACAAATAATGAAATGGCTCTGACTGTCATCCCTTTTTCATTAACTCGGATATGCTGGGAAAATAAAGCAAATCCTGCAGTTTCATGAAGCAAGAGACAGGATAGAAGATAAGCCGCTAAATGTTGGTTCTATTGAGAGATTAGGGGCTGGGCAGGGAGTTGACATACGATTTGGATCTTCATCTCTTCGAACCACTTCCCTAAGGACTTTGAAAGGAATGGATTCTACTTGATTAATTGTGGGGGCCTCTCTGGCCTCTCCCCACTTTCTAAACTTCCATGTTTGAATAAAGTTTGGATCCCAGGGTTCAGAGAGCAGGTATGAGGCTGCGAGGGGCTTTCCTTTGCTCATCTCGAGCCTCATGTGAGCTGGGCGGGCCTCCTTTCTGCCAGTGCTGGGAGGTCACAGCTCAGCACTGTCCCTCCAGGGCCAGAGCCAGAGATGGTGTGTCTGCCTGGCTCAGATCAAGTGCATGCAGGCTGTTATAAATGGAACATCTTAAAGAGGCCGTGAGAAGAATTATTTTTTTTCTGCCCAGCCATAATAATGAACCGGTAGCAGGCAAAATGCATTAATAGAGCATCTTCCACCTTAAATAGATTTCTAAGTATTTTACTGTAGAGTTAATCATGTATGTAGGCCCCTCGGGAAGGCCTGTTGTTGTCATTATCCACATTCCTAGATGCAAAAATGAATGCTCATTTGTACCTACCTGGGAATCAGATGCAAGAGCCAGGGGGAGAATTTATCAGGAAAGGAAGCATTGCTGCCCTCCTCCAGCCTGCAGGGAAATGGCTTCAAAGATGCAAGGAATCCCCCTCCCTCAGGGCTGGCCTTTTGTCCACGGGAGGCAGCAAGGATGCTTTTACAAAGAGGGTTTGGCAGGGAGGGATAGGGGTGGTTAAAATGGATGGATGATTCGAGGTGACTCCTTAGGTTTTCGGAAAGGAAGAACCCCCCATTCAGCAAACTGAAAGTCAGCAAACATAATCTCACACCTTATTCTGTTATCACGAAATATCTGCACTTGGTGAAAGCATTCAATTTCCTATTTCCACAATTTCCCATTGTAGAATAGTGATGAAACAGGGACTTGCAGGAAGGAACTGATGCTAAAACAGAGGAATTATCATCCTTTTCTTTAAAAACTATAAACGAATCTCTCCTGCTCTCCATTATCTCCCCCCCCCCCCCCAAGTAATAAAGTCTTTCCTTGTGGCTGCAAGTTGACAATTGATTTTTAGGTGATAGATCAAATGGTCCCAGGGAGCGAAACACAGCAGATGGGTTTCCCTGAAAATTTAATATTGGAAAGTCACCAGAGGACAGTAGGGGAAATGGGTCTAATGATAGATCAATTGTGATCTTCAGCTTGAAGTTGCTCAACATTGCACTTTCGGGTCAACTGTTTGGAGAGGAAAGCCAGTCTGCTCAGTCTTGCTTTGCTACCCTGGAGTTTGGCAGCCATCCCTGCAGACCTGACCTCAGTCTCTGCCCACCTAAAGCAATCAGGGTGAGGGGGATATGGTGGGGGAAGTGCTGTGTCCCCCCCCCCCCCCCAACACACACATGGCTCACATGAACTTGGTGGCTACTACTTACAAGGTGCAAGGATTCTTACGGTTCAAACTGAGACCCTTTTAGTTGCAATGATTCTGTCTCTCTGGTGTTGGCCAGATGGCTCTTGTGAAACAATATTTTTCTGTTAATGAACAGTTATTCTGTATTTAAAAAAAGCTTCCTGGTTCGATTTGATAGAAAATCGTGGGGGGAAAGCTACAATTGCTGCCTCTCCATCTCTAGGTAGAATATGAGTCAGGGCAGGGAGCTGGGATGTGGAATCTGGGTCAAGACCCCGTGGCAGAGCTAACCCTGATGGCAGGCTGGGCTGTTTCCAGCTTCTCTCCTGCTCAGGAGACAGGCCCAGGAAGGAGCAGGCACCACATCCCATCCGAGCTGAAGTGAAGAGAGAAATAACAATGTAGGTACCCAGGGACCTGCAGCATCCAGAGAGGGGACCGGGCATAAACTGAGAAGAATCCCGTTTTCTCCCAGGTTTCTAAAATATGAGAAACACACCCCTCCGAGTGAAATCATCTCTGCAAGAGTGTGAGCCCAGGAAACTGGGGAGCCCCCTGCAAGCCTAAGGGAAGAGGCTGCCACTCCCTCTGGCGAGGGCACTTTTGCAGGCCCAGCATCTGCGAATGCAGACACCACCAGAATGAGGAATGTAAGTCAGTGTCAGGACTTGAGCAATATTCCGATGCGATTTTTGCCAGCTTCACACATGCAGAGGCTTCTGCGATCCTGCGTTTGTTTTGTAGACGGAAGATCTTTATTTAGAGAGGTGGTGTTGACTGTGGTATTTTAAACTAGCTTTTTCTTTTTGGGGGCTGGGGATGGGGGCTGGGGAGATGGGCGTGGACTATTGACTAAAAATGAGATTCCTCTAAAACATCCCCCCCCCAAACTCCAAATGTACCCTACATGCTAATGCTATGAATGCAATCATTTTAAAGGCGCCCGTATGCATGCTGCAGGGTTTTCCTGTCCTGCTTCCTGAGTTGGTGACCCTGATCCAGATGTCTCTGGCTTATGCAAACAGAGGCGTGTGGCAACTTTGCCTTCTTCATTCGGGGGACGTGATAGTTTTTTTTCAAGGCTGGGAGATGGTTAAACAGCTCGCCTCTGCTGGCGCACTGCTGCTGCTGGTGGTGGCTGCGCGGCGCGGCGGGGGTTAAGGTGGGCGCCCGCCCGCGCCCCGCGCCGCCCGCCCGCCCGCCGGGATGAGCGCGCAGTCCGCCCGCTTGCGTGGCGCCGGCATCCGAGAAAGTGGCGGTCAGTGATGGAGCTGCTGCCATGACAACCCCGGCGGTCGGGGCCCGTGCGCTTTGGGGCTGCTCCCGGGAGGAGGAGGAAGGCGGCGCGGAGGCCGGGGGCGGCCGCTGAGTGTGGCGTCCGCGCGCGGCTCCGGTGCCGGCTGCGCCTCGCTTTCCCCAGCGATCGAGGGAGCGAGCGATCGGGGGGCCGCCGAGGTCTGGTCTCTGGTCCGCTGCCTCCTGGCCGCTCCTGCCTGGACCGCCGGGGCCACTGCCTCCACCGAGACCTGCTCCATCGCAGCAGCAGCTGCTGCTCCGATTTCGGCTCCGAGGAAGTTGACCCGGGCGGGCGGGCGGCTGCGGCAGCATCTCCGTCCGGAGCTCGGTCCCTGCGCAGCCCGCTCCCCCCTCGCACACCCCCCGCTGCTGCCTCCTGCGTGCCACACTTTCCCATTGCATCCGCTATTGTCACCGATCGCATCTCGCCGGCCATCCTGCCTCCGAAACTTACAAAGAAAGTGCTGGATCTCCCCTGGCTGGCGCCGAGGGATTGCAGCCTGCTCTGCTCTGCTCTGCGTAGCCGGATCGGACCCACCCTCCGCTCCCCTTCGGGTACCCAAGTGCTTATGCCACCCCGAAGTGCCATGTGGGAACGGTTTGCGGGAAGAAGAGACCTCTGAGACGTGCCCGCGCCTCGGCATCTGCCCGGAGCTTCTTCCCCTTTCACGGCGGCCGCTCTCCCCGGCCGGAGCTGCACCCAGGAAGCCCCGTCTGGCTCTCCCGGGCTGGAGCGCTGAGCTGGGTTTGGGGGAGGACTATTAGACTCGGAGGAGGAGTCTGCGCGCTTTTCTCCCAGAAAGAAAGAAAAAAAACAAAACAGGAAAAAAAAGAAAAAAAAGAAAAAGAAACCCGCGCTTCTCCATCGCCGCCGAGCTCGCCCGCACCCCACCCACTTCCTGCGCTCGCCCCGGGGGCGTGTGCCGCGCGTCTGCAGCTGCAGGAGGAGTTCTGGGAAGTTGTGGCTGCCGAGGAGGATGGGGGTCTGTGGGTACCTGTTCCTGCCCTGGAAGTGCCTCGTGGTCGTGTCTCTCAGGCTGCTGTTCCTTGTGCCCACAGGAGTGCCCGTGCGCAGCGGAGATGCCACCTTCCCCAAAGCGATGGACAACGTGACGGTCCGGCAGGGGGAGAGCGCCACCCTCAGGTAGGGAGCTGCATTTGTTCTGTGACTTGACATTGACTCGGAAAGGGGGCTGGGGTCTCCGAGAGGGATAGGGGTGTGAGTGTGTGCAATAGAGCTCAGATGAGCCAGATGCGATGCTGATGTGATGTTGGGAGTGTCATGGGGACCTCTCAGAGCTGTTTCCCCAACACTGGCTTCCTTGGTCGGAGGCTTGGGATGCATGAGGGGGTGGCTGGGCCACCAAGTCCCTAGGATTGAGGACCATGGGACTCCCAGGCTGGTGGCCATGGTGGTCAGGGCCTGGATGGAGCTGGGGGTGAACCATCTTCTCTGAAGTTAATGAGCCCCAAAGGACGAGGCTGGCTTCCTGTGCCCTCACTCTGCCCACGGCATGGGGAGTTAGTTGCCAGCTGGGCCCTGACCTCTGGCAGAGCTGCTGTTTTGCCCCGGGCCTGGCTGTGGGGCTGTTTTGGGGGCCTCCAGGCCACTAGCTGGTGGGCAGGAGGGCATGCGTTTCCCGCGTGAGCGTGGCTTTCTGAGACCCAAGTGGTGGAGAGGCGTCTGGTTTGTCTGTGGGAAACAGCATTTGTCTGGGTAACGGTGCTCTGGGTGTTGTCCGCCAGCACTAAGTCATCTATGGGCAGGAGCTGAAGTTCAGTGTTGAGTCAGGTCCTGCTTGGCCTCTGGGGTTAAGGTTTACAGCAACTAGAGGAAGAGGAGGAAGAGGAGAAGGAGGAGGAGGAAGAGACTCTTGGTTCTGTTTTGTGCCTGCTGAAATGCTGACTCGATTTCCTACAAACTACTCCACTCAGGGGCAATTGCCATGGAATCTCACTCTGGAATTTGATGAGAGAGTCAGCCTAAGGTAGAAGCTGGGAAGATGGATGGGGAGAATGGTTTCCCTATGTCTCTTTGACGGAATGTGCCTTTTTAAATAAAGTTTTCCAAACTGGGGCCATCGAGGCAACGTTGATCGTATGCCCATCCTTTGCGCGTGACGGTTCTTGGCGCTGGTGTCCACTGTTTGGCCCCCTGGTGACCGTTCTTCCCGGATTGGATTGGATTGTCTGTGGATGACGCACTTAAAGCAATACTCAGGGGATGGGAAACAGGGAGGAGGAGGCACTGGCGGGTCATTGCCAAAGGAAGTGTGTGACTTAAGGACTCATGCAATACCTACAAAAATCCTGTGCGCCTTTGATTTTGGGGAGCTCACTCCCATTGCCCTAATGAACCCTTAGTCACTCCTTCGTTCCCGAAATCAGCCTCTCCCACTATGTCCTTTGGGGACTATTTTGAAGGAACGTTAAGCATCTACCTACCTCCCACCCTGAAAGAACTGTGCATCTGCTTTATAAAGAGATTCAATGCGGCCGAGGCCTGTTTTGCTCAGTGGTTAGAGCGTCTGTCTGCGGACTGAGGGGTCCCGGGCTCGATTCTGGTCGGGGGCATGTACCTTGGTTGTGGGCACATCCCCAGTGGGGATTGTGCAGTAAGCAGCTGGTCGATGTTTCTCTCTCATCAATGTTTCTGGCTCTCTATCCCTCTCCCTTCCTCTCTGTAAAATATCAATAAAATATATTAAAAAAAAAAGAGAGAGATTCAATGCGAACTCCACATGTGCCTTGATTTCAGAGCACTTAAGAGGAAAACAAAAAGAACTTCTAAAGTAATGTGGTCGGTGCTATTTAGTGTTCTCTGGGTGCCCCCTTGTCCCTAATCTTTGGCTGGGAGGAGTAACAGCCCAAGAGATAAAATAGAGACACTGGCACAAGGAGAACATTTTCGAAAGAAATGGGGTGGTCTTTTCAATGGGAAGGTGGGAGGTATCTGTTAAAGAAATAGAAATAGCAAAGGAAGCCAAAACCAGTTTGGCTCAGTGGATAGGACTGAAGGGTCCCAGGTTCGATTCCGGCCAAAGGCCATGTACCTTGGTTGTGGGCACATCACCGGTGGGGGGTGTGCAGGAGGCAGCTGATCGATGTTTCTCTCTCATCGATGTTTCCAGCTCTCAATCCCTCTCTTTTCCTCTCTGTATAAAATCAATAAAATATATTTAAAAAAAAAAGAAATAGCAAAGGATCCGACAGACAGTAGCTCCCACATTATGGGCACACAAGGGGCATTGGACAGGCCAGGATCTGGCTGGTCTCTCAGGGCATTTCCAGCTCCATGGAAACCAGAACGCCCCAGAGAGTGTCTGAAGTTAGCAGATGCTCAGCCAGGGGATGGGCCTGGTTTAGGAGCAGCTTCTCTTTAAAATCAGGTTTGCATGTACTGGCTGGTTTCTTTTTCTTTGTCTTTCTTTCCATACCTCTTCTCTCGCTTTCCCCCCCTTCTCCCTCACCCACACACACTCTTGGGGATCCCTCTCCCTGTCTCTTTTGGGCATTCATGTTTGTTTGCATCTTCACACATGCTGGAGGCACACTGGCCTTGTTTGGGTGCAGATGGAGGAAGTGGGATGTGGTGGGACTTCCTGTCCAGCCCCAGCCCCGCCATGGCACACAAAGTTCCTCCTGGACCAACTCCCTCCATCTGTGCCAGCCCCTGGGCTGACTGTCTTTCTGACATCAGGAGAAGAACCTCCCACTGAGTCCAGCCTTCCAGGGTAGGGGTTAGAGGAACTTCAGTCTGCCTGACAACAACCCGTTGGCCATGGGCCCGCTTTAGAGGGGAAGCGGGCAGCGGGGGTAGCAGAGCCTGTGTAGAAGATGCTTCCACCTCAGCAGGGGGATCCTGACTCTCCTCAGGCCCTGATGCACTGGGACAAGGAAGGGTCCCGTGGTGGATGGACCTCTGAGGAATGGGAGCCCTTGACCTCTCCACACAGGCTCTGCATTCTGTACTGAGAGACAAGTAGGAATTGTAGAGTGTATTTTGTTAACATAAAATTTGCACATGACCTGATTTCAGGTGTCAACAATCTAATGGTTCAGGGCTCTGAGTTCTTTTTCTTTTTTGCTTTTTGTGTGTCTCTGTGGGTCTCTTCTTTCTTTTTTCCTCCCTCGTTTCCTCTCTCCTTCCCTTTCTCCTTGTTTGGTTTGGCACATGACCAAACTATACAGAAAGAACCACAAGGAGAGAGGCCCTCAGCACCTCTGCTCTGCCTGAGAGCCACCCTACCCTGGCCACATCTCCCTGGGTGACAATGAGGCCAATGCTTGTAGTTTTCTTCTCAACCAGCAGAGGGCTTTCTGCTCTGATTTCATTTTCTTCTGCTTTGTTCTCTCCAGTTTCACTTTCTGAGATTTTTCAGTCCCCACAGAATGATTGCCTCCGCAGCGATTCTAGTGTGAGGAAACTTTTAAAGATGTTTTATTTCATCTAATTAGCACTAATGATCCTTGTGGAGGTATTGGGAAACCTTTCACCTAACGTGCCATCGACAGCCTGAAAAAAAATTGCAATTTGTAGTCTCCCACTCTTTCTGTCCTTCTGCTGATAGTATATGCATATTTTCAAAAGGGTGAGGTTACATAAAACAGGATGTTCAGTAAAAAAAAAAAATCAAGGTTTGTTAAGCATTCACTATTTGGTAGGGAGTATTCTAAATACTTTATAAAATATCTCACCCATCATTCAAACTCATAATATTTGCATTTAACCCTAAGAAAAATCCCTACCATGCAGGTGCTATTATTATCCCAGTTTGCAGATGAGGAGACTGAGGCGTGGAAAATGGACAGCATTATGATTAAGGTTGCACAGTTAGGAAGTTTTGAAACCATAGTGCGTGGCATTAACAATAATAATTTTTAGTAAGATTATTATTTAGTAAGTTACTGGCCAGTTATTGCCTGAAACATTTCTTATACATGGTAACATTTAATTCTCACAGCAACTCTCTGAACTAGACTTAATTATTCCCATTTTATCGATGAGAAAGCTGAGGCCCAGAGAGGCTAAAATCATGCAAGTGATGGGATGCCAACTCAGGACTTTGCATCTTGACATTGTACAACAGCCTTCCCCAACATATTCTCTCTCCTACTTCCATGCTGGTACTTAACCTCTCCCTGATTCATTTCAGCGTATATTGTTACCTCTCTGCCTTCTTCCTGCCTTTGGACTGGGGCAGTTAGCTCTTAAAAAGCAGAGATCATGTGATTCTGTGAGCCCAGGGCACTTCTGAATATCCACTGAACAAATGAAACCCATGACAACGAACCCAAACTCTCCCCAGCCTATATTCAATGTGTCCCCTTACCACATTTCTCCATCATTGGATTTTTAAAATGCAGCTGTGGCCAATCAGCGGAGATTTATTGAGTGGTTCTTACACGAAGGCCACTGAGCTGGGTGTTGGGGTGTAAAATGGCGTGTGGCCGGGACCAGTTTGGCTCAGTGGATAGAGCGTCGGCCTGCGGACTGAAAGGTCCCGGGTTCGATTCCGGTCAAGGGCATGTACCTTGGTTGCAGGCACACCCCCAGTAGGGGGTGTGCAAGAGGCAGCTGGTCGATGTTTCTCTCTCATTGACGTTTCTAACTCTCTGTCCCTCGCAATTCCTCTCTGTGTAAAATCAATAAAATATTAAAAAAAAAAAAAGATTTGTGCATTTAAAAAAAAAATGGCGTGTGGTGTGGACTCCCAGTTGCAGGACCTTGGGTCCAACTCAGAAGGCGGGCTGTGGGCAAGAGGCCATGGGCAGCAGAGGCAGAGTGCCCATGGACAAGTGCTTGGTGCATGGTGGAGAAGAGTACTCCCCTCTGGGGCAGGACAGCTCTGCTGAAGAGCACAATGAGGAGGCAGCAAGAGCAGCAGAGCCTGGGGCCCATCTGTGTGGGTGTCATTAATGAGAGACTGCCATTACATGCCCCAGGAATGTGTTTATAGATCCCCCAAATATTTCCCGGGCTCATCTGGAAAGTGAGTCCCGAAGGCTGAGCTATACCCCGGTCCTCTGCCTAGACTCTGGGTTTTGCCACGGTGATTTTTTTTTTTGGGGGGTGGGGGGGTGGGGAGGAGATGAGTGACTAAAACATCTGAGAAATGCGCTGGGTTAATGTTGAGTTTTGAG